CAATCAAGCATTAATTGCTCTTAGAAGGGTCAAAGGTGACCTCAAGGCTAGTTTGGACCTTTCACAATAAAAAAGTGACATTTTTGAACAAATGTAGTGCACATCCAAATTTTTTGTGGATTTTCAAAATTAGTGACATTTATGAAATTCTCCCTACTTACAATAGCAAGTGAAAAAAAAAAATTAAAAAAAATAGATCCTAGTTACATAATGGTGTGGAATAATCCACATGGCAGAAAGGTCAACTGATCTTAGCCATCAAAATTGGTTAGGCCACCAATCCGATTGACCACAACCCAAAAACAAAGAACCGGCCCAAATTAAATTAAGATTGAGAAAAATGGATGGGGGACAAAGTGGCTCTCAATTTCCATTATTTGCATTGACCTATGTTTAACCCCCATGTCATTTTCATTTCTTAATTAAATGTTTTGGGGCATATTAAAAAGAAAATGTCTTGTCCTAGTCTTCACATAGAAGCACATATACGTCTAAAAGATCTCTGAATTTTGTTTAATACACACATGTAGTATATATATATATATTCAATATTCCACTTGGATAATCAAAAACTCGATAACCTACTATCACGTTTTTTAATTTATTCATGATATTTCTTCCAATCATAATATTAAATTTTATATAAATTATCGAATCGTAACTATATAGCAATATATGTATTCAAATAATAGTTTTTGAGAAGAACTTGATAATTTGAACTGATTGTAGGGTTTCATAGCTATAGCATAATTAAGGGCCTTTTTCTCCACTGGATTGACCAACTCCAACCATAGTGACCCTCATCTAACGGTCAACAATCATGTAGAAAATGGCTTTACATTAGAGACAATGTCGGATCCAATGTTGGACTTGTTCCCTTAAAATAAGAAGAAAGCGAGAGAAAAAGAGAAGTAAAAGTACTTTGTTTTGAGACAAATTTATATCTCGACCATAAGAACATGTTTTGGCTAGCCAACGTTAGCTAAAAGTACTTTTTTTACTATGTTTTCAGCTAAACTTGACGAGTGGACAAACAAAAATTCAAACGTTGTAACTGATATTTTCAATCGTGAATTTTAATCAAACATCTAAACTTGTCGATCATTTAAAAAAAAATTCGATACTTATTGTTTACGTTAATAAAAGTGTGTCCTTCATAGAGGGTGGGTATCAAAGATCATTATCATCAAGTCTTTGCACGTGTATTTGTTAAAATGCATTGCCGGACCATGTAATAAATCTAACTTAAATATAATTTAAAAATATTTTGTATTTGTATATATATATATATATATATGCATACAAAGACATAAACTCCATTGTAGTAATCCACCACAAACCTCCATACTTTCCCTTTCTCTCATCACTTTGTCGGCCTCTTTGTCCATATCTTCTTCTCTCTCGCACACAGACTTAAAGTACAGTAGTACGTACACAGACCTTGTCCCGTACCACTAGAAGACACAACTACTACTAGAAAACGTGACATCAAAAACGAAATAATTCAACATGGCATATACTTCTCTTTCAAGAACCAGCAGTTGTGAAAGCACCAACAATATCATCTCAGTAAACTTACCAAGATCATCGTCTCTAAACCTTGAATCCTCGGACGTATTCCATGAAAGGTCTCTTGTCCGAAGAGATTCTCCTGGCACGTTCCACCGTCTGAACAAAGCCACCCGTTGTGGATTGACATCCCTTCTCAGATCACTCCTTCACTTTATCTCCTTCCCTATCATAGTCATCCCAGTATGCAGATGGCTCGCAATTCCAACCCAGCTCTCGATTGTGCCGTCTCTGGGCCGTAGAGTCACCGGAACCCTATTTGGTCACCGGAGAGGTAACGTGAGCTTTGCCGTTCAAGTTGATCCAACTTCAGCACCCGTGTTAATAATCGAATTTGCTGTTTCAACGTCAATGCTAGTGAAGGAGATGTCATCAGCACTAGTTCGGATTGCCCTAGAGTGCGAAAAGCACCCGCTTCTGAATCGTGGTGGTAGCCGCCGGTCGCCGGTGAGGTTGTTCAACGAGCCAATGTGGACAATGTACTGTAACGGGAGGAAGTGTGGCCATGCACAGTCACGGTCGTGTACCGAGTCAGACTGGCACGTACTCAACACCGTTCAGAGCGTGTCCGTCGGCGCCGGCGTGATTCCAGTGGTGGAAGCCGGCAAGAAAAAGGGTCCCTCAGAAGGCGAGTTGCTGTATATGAGAGCTAGGTTTGAGCGAGTCGTGGGAAGTCGTGACTCGGAAGCTTTTTATATGATGAACCCGGATGGCAATGGAGGACCAGAACTCAGTATTTTCTTGCTTAGGATGTGATTTTATGTTGCAGAGGGAATTTCAGAAGTATGAGTAATTAATTAATTATAATTCCGTGTTTGAAACTTTAACGTGTTTGTTTAGGAACCTTGTATTCGGTATTTCATTTCCTAATAAAGAATGAAAAATTATATTGTCTGTATTGCCAACATCGTAAGCAAGTTAGCCGGGCTGCGAGCACGTTCAATTTGAGCTTTTCAAAAGTTCGGCTCAAGTCATGATCAACATAGTAGAATGAAAGAGACAACGGCTCCAAGATGTGTTCAGAGGGGAAAAAAATGAGAGTGGAGACTCGAGTTGGGAGGATCAAGAAAAAAAAATCAAATATTCGAGAACAAAGGCTCATTCTCCTCCAATCTTTGTGGGAAAAAGATGATTAATTAACACTTGAATCCACCTCCCACAAAAGCCTCCTAGAATTAGGATCTCAAATTGAAAGACAAAAAGATTGACAAGACTTTAGACACGTTTTAATTAATCCACTCAATTACTTAGGTGCTATTCATTTGCATAGTAATTATGTCCGAGAAAGTTGGACCCTTCTATGGACATATTTATTAATGTTTTTTTTTCTTGTAAGGACATATTTAATATATTGAAGAACACAATTGTGAATACAATGATATGATGTTGGACTCAAGTATGTTCCATAAATATTCGAGAGATCGGAAATACTTGAATTAATGTTGAAAAATGAGTTTGGGGTATAGCGANGAATTAATGTTGAAAAATGAGTTTGGGGTATAGCGAGATGTAATGTTCCTCTAGTAGAGCTACTATATATCCCTAACAGGTTTATAGTACGGTGAGCTCTAATATTACTCGTTGGTCGCACTATCTATTTGTCGTATGAATTTTTGTAAGATGGATATTGAGAAATATTTAACGTATGACATTCATTGTCCCTTGTGGTTTCGGATCAAACCCATCATGTGCGAGTGGGAGATGTTAGAAAATACGGGTCATAGGTCGCTCATGTGGGATGACCTGACCCACAAGTTATTAAAAGGGTTGGAGGGAATGGTTTGAATTTGAAGTTCAAATATATAACTTCCTACAACCACCATCAACTCTTATACAATTTCCATTCATTTATGAATTGGAAAATAGAGGGAAGAAGAGGACATGAAACATGGAGTGAAATTTCCTATGGAATTTTATACCTAAATTGAAAAGTCCTTAAAACCATATTTTTTGCATGAAATCTTACAAATTTTGACACTTATATTGTGGATAATAATCCCTTTTTATTGTGATCGGGATTGAGACCATTAGAGAATGCTGCGTATTCTTACACCACAATAAACTGAAAATAAGACTATCCTGAAAGGAAAAAACAAGCACCATGTCTACTTATCATTCATTATAGAGCCATTTTTTCTTCTATTTACCCCATGTCTCTACATTTTTTCAAATTCCGTCGACTTAAATATGAATACAATTCGGCTTTACTTAACTGAATTTCCTTTTGAGTATCGATAACCTCCACGCCTCTTCCAAAAATAAATAAATAAATAAATGTATATATATAAAAACATGAGAAATACATTAGCACTGATTACCATATTATATTTTATTTCACTTTTACAGTTAAGGACAAAACATTACAGAGAAATGGGATTTACAATTGTTAGATTTGGATTTATGGTTAATTATCTGATGAGATTCTTTTGCCAACCGAGATATTTGCGCCCATGCAGATATTTTAGACCAGATTTTGGACAACTATACCGGGTCAATGACAGATCAAATCAACATAATTTTCCTACACACATTTAATTATAATTAATTAATCAATTAATTATATTGACCTCATTTCTTGTAGGGACGAGATAACAAACAAATCTCGAGTCATCTCTCATCCAAGCCTTTGTCATGCACTTATCAGGAGTTAGAGAAGGTATCCGCTCACACTCCGACGATAAAGTTAACCTTTGTAAAAATAAGCATTTGAGTGTGAGACGTACTTAAGACGTGAGCCACTTAAGTAAAAGAGATCAAGATATGGGAAATATAGAAAGCAAAGAGAGATCGCGAAGTTATATGTTGAGAGCATAAACTTGCATTACATTCAAATGATAATAAGTGTGAGTTTTTATAGTGAAGAGGAGAAATAATAACCGTTGGATGAAAAGATACTAGTTTTATGATCATTTGCAACCCTAGGTTTGACACATAGGGGCTAGACTTGACATGTTGACTTGATAGAGTGACTGTTATAGTGAGTTGTCACATCAATCAATTTTAAAAGATCGTGTTCAGAAGATTCTGTACGGAGTCTCTACTTGCCTCGCTTCATCCATGAGGGTTCGGCCCTGGTACATGAATTTAGCCTCGCCATAGGAGTTCAACCTCTTCATGGGAGTTCGACCAAAATTGCCATATGGGCATAATGACTTGGAGTGTGGGCTTAAGTTTGTATGTGTCCGTGCTTGGAGCCTCGCTGGAAGGCGTAACAAATTAACCTTTTTTAATAAAACATTTCTAGCTTATAATCACATAATACTATAATTCTATTGATGAAAATTTTCATCAATAGGTGATATGACTCGCTATTTATCTCATAGAGAGTTAACTATCGTAACATGAGAGGAAGGTTTTATATGGGGGAGTTTAGGATTGTTTGCGAATTCCAAAAAGATGATGATGTTAACTATTTCAAGAAGTTGATAAGGTTTAACTGCGAAGATTGTTGTAGAGACGTTTTATCTTTTAATGAAAATCTAACAAGAGTCATCAATAAAAGTTGTTGATAGAGATAAATTTTCACCAAAAATGTTTAATTATAGGTGTTGATCACACATATTCGTGCCTATGAGTTGGATATTTACGAGAGTAGAGTGATCCCGTTATTTGTATGCAAAATTCGACTTGATATAAATAAATTAAAAATATCAAGATATAGTAATTAATTTAAATTCCCATAATAACCATACAAATAAACATTTGCAAGAATTTGGAAGTGATAACAAGTCGTAGGGCACATGGGTATTCATAACTACTTCCCGGTTTTTTTTCCCGGGTGATAAATAACAAATTCGGATCTTGGGTTCCTTTATTACCCAATGAAGCTCCGGGGAAGAGCATATCTTAGTTTTCGTGAAGGGAAACATAAAATAATTCAAACGTGACGTGTTGAATCAGATTGAATGAAGAACAAATTATTATTAAATTAATATTAATATTAAAAGATAAAATGCACGTCATATTGTTTAATTATTTGATTGGGTCATTAACAAATATTTGTGCTAACCAACTATTTTTGAAGACGTGGCGGCACAATACATCTCATAATATATCTATGGTAAGTAGTTTGATTTGATATTATGATAGTTTAGATTATCTCATCGCTTGTTTATGAAAACTTTATGATTTTTATTTTAAGATAAAAATAAATTGAATTTGCGCGCCATGAGAAAAAAATATCAAGATAAGTCTTGTTTCTAAATAAAATTAAAGCAAAACATTTCAAGAATGTAGCACGCATGTTAAAAGAGTGTTGATAATAAGACATTATGTTAGAATGATTACTTCTTGTGAGAAATTCGAGCATGATCCTCAAACTTATTTTTTTCCAAGGAAATCGAATTTAATGGGCATTTGTGTTATAATTCCCTCTTTGCATGTAGGAAGGTAAGGTTACAAGATCCTCAAAACCAACCTTGGACCATTTTCAAGAACTCGAAAGCAAGAAGAAAAGAAAGTCCAACCAAACCTTATCAACTCCCTGAAACAATTATTGGCAACAAGTTTTCCGAGTCCTAGCACCTCCAAAAAAAACCACATGCTCTCGTTTGGAAACCATCCTAAACTCCCTTTATAGAGCCTTCTCCTCGATTTAAAGAAAGTCCAATTCAGCCTTTGTTTGACAACCATTTTCAATTTTTTTTTATATACTCATTTTCAATCAAACATTTACATAATAAAATATTCTAAACGTAAATTCAAAACGTTTTCCTACTTTTTAACCACACAATTATTTTAAAAATTATTATTCAAAACCCTATTTCCCAAAATAATGGTTGTAAAAGAGGAGCTAAATGGATTATGTTTTCGGTTTTCCATGTGTAATAGGATTAATCAGTTCCAGATATCTTTTATTAACTATTGGACAATAGCATTTTCTACTCGCAAGTCTTGTCGTGTAAGGAACTTGGCAAGATGGAGATTTGGGCACTCTCACCTTGTTTGATTCCAATTTTATTAAAAATATATTTTTTTCTCTTCTTTTTAACCACGCATTTTTCAATAAAATAATATTATACGCAATCATAAAGTTTTTTCTTCATTTTTAGTCACACATTCTTCATTAATCTACTATTCCAAAATGCATTTTACACAACAGAAGGGGTTCAAACAGTTGTGAAATCTACACCACTCAATCATCCTGGTCGTTCTTACAAAAATGGTGTTTTTGTCTTGTAACAATACAAAATGGACACTTTTTACAAAATTTATTAAAATCGCCCAACTTTCTTAAGTATTTATGCTTTGTGAGATTTTTCTTGTAGGCCTTAAAAGTGGGTATTTGGACCGTGACTTGTAATCTATACTTTGAACTTGGATTTAGTAAAGCAAGATCGACATGTAATCGAATCTAAGTTAATACAGAGTTGTTGTCGTGTTTCTTGTTACTTTTGCGGTAAGTCAAACAGTAATAAGTAAGATCTAACTACTATTCACACCTAACATGACAAAATGCATTATAGTCTTGATTTAGAAATTTGTTGGACGCTTGGAACTACTAGATCTAGATATTATATTTATTTGTTGTATGGAAGACCACGACATATTATTAAGAAACCTAAAAGAAGAACATGATTCATAATTTTTAATATGTAGTCTGAAAAAAGAACAAACTTTAATCAACAAAACTGACAAATTGGAGGTTGACACTTGACACTGAAGTTTTAACAATTAAGTTAGGTTAATTAGCCATAATTTATTTGAAACTTTCACTTTTATCTTACTTCAGGCTTCAGCCCAGTTTTAATTATTTA